CTCTCTCTCTCTCTCTCTCTCTCTCTCTCTCTCTCTCTCTCTCTCTCTCTCTCTCTCTCTCTCTCTCTCTCTCTCTCTCATATGTTATCATAAAGACCCAGTACAAAATGACTACGTCCCCCTAGTAACCATTCATCCAACCCTTCCCTATCATGGGCCCCCTGCGAAAGTTTGCTCCACCCATTGTCATACCCCGCCATCTCTATGTGAGAAGGTAAGCCGGTAGCATTGGTGATTGGCTTTCCAATCAATAGCTGTGTGTAAGAAGGAAAGCTGGTTGCCTGGGTGATTGGTTTTCCAATCAAAGGCTCTTCCCTTTTTCCAATCAATGACTCATTCGCCGTTTACCTTCAAAGCCACTGCAGAGCGAGGAAAAGTCCGTACCTTCCATGATCAGCTTTCCTATCTTTAGGTTCATGTGTCGTGACATATGGAAACACTAAGATGTTATTCCAATGATAGAAAGAAAAGGTCATTGACATGTGTGTGTGCGTGTGTGTGTGTATGTGTGTGTGTGTGTGTGTGTGTGTGTGTGTGTGTGTGTGTGTGTGTAGAGAGAGGAGAGAGAGAGAGAGAGAGAGAGAGAGAGAGAGAGAGAGAGAGAGAGAGAGAGAGAGAGAGAGATTATGATCCAGACTTGGCCGAGTTCGCAGGGCGTTTCCTTATTAGAGTGCATAACAAACCGAGCAGCCATGGAGAGTCTGACGAAGCACCCCTTACACATGCCTAATCGATGTGCCAAATAGGGATGTCTCGCCATGTTTCATTACCCAAGCGTGACACATTTACGAGAATGAGATAGTAACACGAAACATATATTCAAAGCTTGCGATATGGTCGCAAGATTTGCCCCATTGTCACGTTTGTGATTAATTGAAAAAAAAAACAACATACACCAAGCAAGAAAGCAAGAAAGCAAGACATCGCGTTGAAAAGAAAGGAGAGAAAATTATGCTAAGGGAGACATGTAAACGAGGAAAATAAAATGAAGGGAAAAAAATGTATATAAAAAAAGTGAGAGTAAATTTTGCTTTTAGCGAATTACTTGGTTAAGATCATTTAAGCATGGGATTACCAATGTATCCCTTTTCTTCTACTTTTCATGAAGTAGACAACGGAGTATTATTTGAGAGATAGAACAATAGACATATAAACTAAGAATAAATAGGAAGAAGCGAAAGAAAAGTCCAATTGCAAGACGATACAAGATCAAAATCCAATTTGATCATATATAACTATTCAACAATGTATCCCGTTTACTCCTTTTTTTCACAAATCCTTTTGACCATACCATGGAGAAAATTAGTAAATATTAAAGCAATGAATAACATGCAGGAGTGCACAAAGCTCGATTGTACAGAAGTCGTAAGTGAAACACCATGCCAATAAAGGCAAATTGCTAAGCGTATAAACTGAGAAATAAAAAAAGATTTCAACCGTAGAGCTCCATACAAGCTAAAATAACTCTAAATAAGAGACATAAATGAAAATCGCATTGATTTAACAGAGTGTCTTTTTGCATATTTCTTCTCGGAAGTAAGCAATGTCGCTCGCCCGGGTCTATCTAGAATGGGGATAAGCGTACAGATGTGGCAAAGGCATAATTATTTGACTTGTTGGTGGAAAAGGAATCACACGGACGCTCAATGGATATGGAGCCTGAACCGTAAGCTTCTGTTCTTAAAAGTAAAAATAAAAAACAATAATACTAAAGAGTGGGTTAGTGCTTTTGTCGACCACATTTATCCAAAGTTATTTCAGACACTTGGGGTTTTAGTTATTTTGGAGAGACATAGGGCCTCATTGCACTACTCATGACTCATGAAAAAAATCAAGAGTGCGACATGAGTTGTCAGATTCCTGAAATGGCCTAGAGTTGTCGTGGCTGCACTTACTCTAGATAGTTCCGCTTATGAAGCACTCTTGTCACGCTCTTGTGAATCCTGGAGTGCAATGCAGCCTGTTTTTTTCCATCCTGACTCAGACTCGCTCTAGAAACCCCGCACCCTTTCAAGAAACCATCTGACCACCCTTGCAAAAATCGTAATTGCAGACAGACGAAGAAGAGCGCTCTGCAAGTCTTCGGCCGACGATGCCCTGACAGCTCGTGAAAAGCATTTTCACGAGCAACAAGGCAGGAGTAGTGAAGCGGCGACAACTCTTGACGGATGCAAGAGTAGCGTCTGACAACTCTTGATGTGTTTTCAGACGGCCAAATTCACGAGTAAGTGCAGCGATGCCCAACTCATGAAAAAGAACATTTCATGAGTAGTGCAACGAGGCCTATAGTGTTTTTTGTTTTATTTATACCTTGAAGCTCCACAAACGTTTCAAAACTAAACCTCAAAGTAAGTAGTCCTAAATTATGATAACTATTACCGTTAACTGCATGTATAAATGCGGTAAACTGGACTGTACATAAAACATTATCGAATATCAGACAACTAAAATATTTTGCTAAGTTTAATAACATAACAGTTATAAACTCATAATGTTTGGGGGAGTGCAGGAGATAGAGGAGGGTGATGAGAGACATCAACACCGAGTTGAAAAATACCGCAACGTGAAACGAAGCAACCTAATCAAATTGCTACTAGCCTTTTAGATAATTTATGAACACATATCGTTGTCATAAGTGTTTCTATGTTTGTTAGTGTGTGTGTTATATTATGTGCTAGCAAGTATTACATAGCACAAACACAACACTATTAAAAATGATTTGTTACATCTGCATGATTACGCAAGAGTACTTGGAGGCATGGAAAAATCTTCAAAGTGATCATTAACATTATTTCTAAATTTCTTCTTAATTGCTTAATTATTTCGTCCACCAAAACACCCCTTACAAATGTGTAATCAATGGGATGTCTCACCACGTTTCATTACTCATGTGTGACACATTTACGAGAAGAAGCATGTATTCAAAGTTTGTGACACACTCGCAGGGGTTGCCTCACTGTCATGTTTGTGATTAATTGAAAAAAAAACTCATATATCACGCAAGAAAGCAAGAACAGCACGCTAAAAAGAAAGGAGGGAAAATAATTATAAGCGAGAGTTGTAAACAAGGAACAAAAATAAAGGGGAAAAAATGTACGCAAGAGTTAGAGTGTAATTCGCCCTCAGTGAATGCTTGGTTAAAGTTGTTAAACATCATTTAAGTAAGGGATTACCAATGTTTCCCTTCTTTTATTGTTCATGGAGCAGATGAAAAAGTACTATTCGAGAGATAGAATAGTGAACATATAAACAAAGAATAAATGCGAAGAAGCGAAAGAAAACTCCAAATTGCAAGATGATACGAGATAAAACTCCGATTTGATCATATATGAATATTCAACATCGAATCCCGTATATTTTTTTTCCACACAAATCCGTCCGACCATATTATAGAGAAAATTAGTAACTATTAAAGCAATGAATAACATGCAACAGTGCACAAAGTTAGATTGTACAAAAGTCGTAAGTGAAAGATCATGCCTATAAAGGTAAATTGCTGAGCGTATAAATTGAGAAATGATAAAAAAAATCAACCGTAGAGCTTCATA